CCTGACCATAACCTAAAATTATAAGAAAGCAAGCTCTTATCCTTTTTGCTACAAAGCACTGTTCAGAGTGCATGGCCGGCCATATGTATAATAAAGCAAGTGCCAATTACTTATCGAATGTCTTTAAAAGAACACAGAAAAGACAAGAAAAGAAGAGAAAAATGCCATATTGAGATTCTGAACAGATTCAACTTTTAATTGCAGCAAACAATTACACATGCAAAAGGATGCATATAGTGTTGCGTGCATTTCGAAGATAATTCATCATGATAAAAAAATCATTTGCCAAACTTAAACGTGTAGGCAGAATTCTTGGCTAAACTACTTTAGTCCTCGTGAAGGGTTGAGATTTTAAAAAAAGTTGAAAATATTATGATCTTCCACAAAAAAGGGCTTCTACTTTAAAACTAAAAATGCAGCTGTTTAATTATTAATTTAGTCTGTGCACATGAGACAGTGAATTAGAGATTTACCTTGAGGGTATCGGCACTGAGAAGAACTCCCGCATGTTTATTCTTGAAGTCGTCCAGTGCAAGTTTAACTGCTTTTCTTATGAGTTTTTTATCAAACCGTGTCTTCTGCAACAATGGCATGGCCTCGAACACATGCTAAGGCAGAAAACGAATTTTATATACCATACAAATAACGATCAAAATTATCCTTCTTTATTAACATTCAAACATAAGATTTAATGAATATTATACCTTATCATAGCAGTGGACAACAATATGAATATGAAAAGATAGGGGCATGTGTTCCCACTTTAATAGTGCATGACTTCTTTGATCGATAGCACATTCCAAAGCCAATCCATAACGTTTCCAGTCAATGCCTGTTAATGCCTTCAGAAGTGCCTCGGAGATTGAACAAGGCGCAAAATCTTTAAAACAGAGAACCTATGTAATCATGAGCAATAATCAAAATTAAGCCAGAGTTGCATGGTACTTTCTGAAGCGGAAAGAACGGGAAGGAAGGAGGGTGATAGGTCAAACAACCTTCGTATTAGAGCATCCTGCTCTAAAGCAATTATTGGTCGGGTTTGATATTTCAGTAGTCACAACCGCTGCCTCCACTACCAGTTTGGTAGTTTTATGCTTGTCTTCACAAACCATTCCACCCCCACTCCTCAGATTATCCCTAAAGTTTGAAATTTGAAAATAATAATAATAATAATAATATAATGCACATCGTAGGCAAGTTTAACAGCTAAATTATTTAAACTATGAGTGCAGAAGGAACAAAGTTTCATCATATCTCATCAGGAAATTATTTGTACTCTTTATAACCCACCTATAACCAGAGAAATTCAGTCTAACAACGAGTTGGCGTAAATTAAAGTAACAAACTCACCTGTTAGGGAAACAAGAGTCACAGGCCAAACTGGATCCATGCCGTAATACATAACTCTCAAGGCCAAATTTCAAATGATCAAGAGTTGAAGCTGCAAAAGAGGAACTAGGGGAAAATTTTTCCAGGAAAACAGCATCATTACGTGACCCTGGGACATCCTGGCCGTCGGCCATAACTTCCATTGCAATATTCTTGTGAAATTGAAAAGCTAATGAGTTCCTTTAGTACTAAACCATCGCCATAAGAAACGAAGGTAATTTGGAAATATATATATTCATGTAGATTATGTGAATGGAGCAGCGAGTTCAACTTACTGGGACCTTTAGAACGAGAATCTGCAAAATAAAGGAGGATGAACTCAGGTAAGAAATGCGACTATAATTCAATAAAGAAAAACACCTTAAGAAATGTACACTGTAGAGTTTATTTGAAACACCAAAGGTGTTGATTTGAGATGATTTTAAATTCTGTTCAATATCACAACTATGAGAAATCATAAAACTTCAGAGTTCAAGGGACAAAATTTGAAGTCTACTACAATGACGGGAGACATCAAAAATGAATATTTTTATTTGCATGGTCTTCCAAAAGATCTACACTAACGACTAATTAGGCTCATCTCAAGCAAGTACATTACAAAACTGCTCTTGCTACGGTCTCTTGAAATTTTATCCCTAAAATGAGAGTCGAGACTGCATTGCATGTTTTGAGATATTGCAGACTATCCTAAAACCCTCGTAAACTTCCATTATCAAATTTCAAAGAGCAAAGACCATCTTTTCAATTAAAACTTCATTTTCACCTTCATTTTCTATCTCATTGAACCCACCCTATTGTTTTTAATGCTTAAAAAAGTGTCAGATAAACAAACAGTTCATTGCCATTTTTTTGGTTTGACAGAAGGTGCATGATAGAGGGGTTAATAATTAACTGCTTACGAATGCCCTTACAATTCTCCTTAGAAACTATGGGTAGAGGCTGGCCTTTAAAGTAGTTTTGAGCAATAGTCACAGTTACAGTCCATGATAGCAGGAGTGCAAGAGCAGAAGTCTACAATTACCCCTGACTCCAAACTTGATATTTCATCTCAGGTCTGATTCATTTTGTTTTGTATGAGGCAATCTAGCTAATTGCCGCTTAACTAGGCAGTGCCCCACATGGAAGTATTGTACATATCGACTTATTCATTTTGTGAAAGCAGCAAGTAAAACCGTAGAATTTAAGCGAAGGTGGCAAAGAGGAGAAAACATATGAAAAATATTTAAGCAGTAAAATAGCTGGCATACTGCAAAGAAAAATAGTTAAGATACAATCAAATGTTATCCTAAACAGAAATTAGTAAATAGATTCAGCCAGGAAGAAAGAGACCTTCTGAAAGAAGCAGTTGAACTCCTCCAGCAAAACATCAATACTTTCAGAAACAGACAAACACACTTCGGTTCCACTAGTTCACGTATTTTAAAAAATCCGATTACTGCCTATTCCAAATAAAAATAAAGAGAAGTGACCAAAAAGTTAAAATGGTTCCATGCCTGAATTTCACACCATGCTTAATGTTCGAAGGTAGCAGAATTGGCTTCCTGGTAGTGACATTCTCTTTCAGATTCAACTGATAACAACTTATCTCTTTATCACAAATATCTGCAATCTCTACAGGGCGTTAGTATATGCACAACAGGTACAAGATTTAAAAAACAGAATACAACTTCATGAAGCAAAACTACGCAAAATAAATATAATATGCTAGAAAGGCTTGTAAATTATCGATAAATCAGTTTCTTTTCATCAATTTAGAACATCATCTTCTTTCCTTTAAGTATCCATTCACACTAAACTTATCTTACACCTATGCTGCTATGCACTTAGGAATTGATCTAGAAATTCAGCATACAGTAAAAATGTACAAAATGTGCTGATGAATGATTAGGAAGGGATCTCAGTTCTAGGACACAGCTAGTGACTCTTCCTTGGAGGTGTTGAAGCAGATGCTAAATTCATTCTTCCCCGAGCCATTAACTGAAACTAAAGTAATTTTGAGGAAATGGAACTTACTTGTAGTTCTCACATAAACAATTCCGTCTGCATAAAATAGCGGAGATGTTTTAATCAACATAGCAAACCCTACGGCAGAGTATTTAAATAATTTTTCAACGTGAATATAGATACATATAACCGAGATAACTTCAACAAACAATTATAAATGTGATGAAGAATTGTTTTCTGAATGCAGCTTTTCGAGAGGACGATGGTTGGACTTGCTGTTTGTGGTAAGCCTCAGCTTAGCTTATTTGACTAAGGAGAAAATATAATCGCTGGTTAAACATGTATGCTCGTGTTGCCTTAGGTAGGAAGGTAAGAAAAGTTGCACATACTCACGAAAACAATAAAGATGTCTACAGCTATACATGAGCTACTGCATTGAATGGCAGGATAAGAAAACAATAAAACAGTAACACGAAGAATAATGAAATGATGTAGAGGTACTAATCAAAACATTTTACAAATCATCAAGTGCTGCCAGAGCGCTATAGGAGCAGAGTCAATTACTCACTCCATGTTTCGGCAAGGATACCTTCAACGGGGCACTTCAAATTCTGAAACTCCTCTATGCAGCTTCCAAGGCCGGTATCTGAAACTACATCGAAATAAAAAATCTAGAAATAATTTTTTGAGAAATGAATATTACTCGGTGCGAATTTTTCTTCATAATTTTTCAAGCTTTGGTGCTTCCTTCAGAACCGAACGTAACTAACTGAGAACAGAGTCGTCAAAATGTGTTATAAACCAAAATTGAAAAGGACTTGATGAGATTTTTAATATTTCCAGAATCGCCGGCCACAAAGAGCGTGGGAAATCACTTACTAGAAATACGAACTAGTGGAGGATCGGAAGCGGGAGAGCGTTGCAGAAGAACTGAGAGTCTGCAAAGTCGTTCGGAGCAGATGCATCTCCGTATTGCCGAAGAAATTAGCTGCACTAAGCAAGTTCAGGAAGAGTATTCTTCAAAACTCTCGTGCTTTAAGTCTCACAAAACAAAAAACAAAAAATAAATATCGGTCTCAGTTCAACAAGATTGAACTTACTAGTAGGCAGAGGTCTTGAAGAGAAGCAAATTCCATGGTTGCAGCTTTGAGAGGAGATAAAACCCACTCCCGCGCTCCCGTAAATAAAACATGCACCACGGCTTCCAATTCAAATCTTAGTTTTATATGATTCAAGTTGGGCCGGCCCACGAACAAAAATTTCCTAACGAGGGCCCAGTCCACTGAGAACGTTTTCGGTGCCGCACATATATATTATTCTTCCATTTTTTAATTTTTAAAAATTATAGTGCAAAACATTATATTATATTTTAGTTTATGAAATATTATTTGATTTATTGATGTTTTGAAATTATATTATATGGTGAAAATTACTAATTATAAAAATTCTTTGAATTAATAGTTCTTTTATTAAAAATATATAAAAATGGGAAAAGATTGTGTAAATTTTTTTATTGTTAACCCCTACAAAAATAAATGAAGAATTTCAAATAAACAAGGATTGAATAGTGATAACTATGAAGATGATTAAAAATGGGAAACAATATCCTGTTTAATTTGACATAATTAGTTACGTACTTTTCTCGTAAAAAAAAGTTCCAATAATAAAAGAAAACAACTATATATTCTTCTTACCAAAGTAAACAATTACATAACTAAGAAACATGTACTAAAAGGCCCCGAACCTGAGTCACAATCCACTGACTTCAAATAAATAATTTCATACTGAAGAGAGGCAAATGAAATGTTCTGAAGATGGCCCCTTGGAAAGAAATTAGATATCATTATTACCACATAGAGGATATACGGCTAACTTTCCTGCCAACCTAGTTATACAAACTCGAGGGTGAAAACCAAACATGTAGCCAACTTCAAAGTTTGCAATGATAAGATTTCGGATACCATAATACTACTTAAGGGAGCTACAATGTCATAATCGCGCTAGCTATTTTTGCTAAATTAAGTGGGGTAATACAAATGTTGGAAAAAAGACGAGCCAAAAAGAAAGAAGAAAAAATACTGAATGTAACCTGACTGGCAAAAAACCAGGAAGTATCTTGTATGAGTCTACTTTTCATGTGGGCATAAAGATTAAACACCTATGGAGTTTGTATCCATCATGTACAGCACAAACCAGTTCAAAATCACAGATAAGTTACAGAGGCTTTGCGCTCTTGACCGTGTATTACTTTTGATTCAGCGACCATATATCCCATGACGCTTAAAAAACTCTCTGAATCCGTAGGCACTGGGGTCATAGTTGAACTTGATAAAAGAAAATAAACAAATCAATGAAACAGAAACATAGGTCAGTGAAGGATCCCATTTACTATTAGAAGCTTGGCTTGCGGAATTGAGAACTTCAATATTTTCCAGCAGAGAAAACTTCATTAGGCCTTATTTGGGTTAAAACCCAGCCCATCATTTTAAAATACCATATGTTCAATGGTAAATAATGTTAATAAAATCAGGTGAGAAAACAGGACATCCAAATCAAATGTTAAGTTCGTTACATAAACTTCTTTTAGTGGTAAATATGTTCAATGGTAAATAATGTTAATAAAATCAGGTGAGAAAACAGGACATCCAAATCAAATGTTAAGTTCGTTACATAAACTTCTTTTAGTGTTGCTGGGATGGGATGTGAGAAGGGGAGATGCTGTGGAGAATGGACAATGACCAACGTGAAAGCATCAGCAATGAGAAATGAATTGATAAATTGAGTTTGCTTAGGTCAACAGAGCATGAAAACTTACGGGTAGAACCTTCACCGAGTACTTCGTAATGTTAGGATCAGAAATCTTTCCCTGGCTAGATGCCTGCACAAAAAATATTGAATTCAAATCATTAATAAATGGACTGAGAATGAAAACGGCAAGGTATACCCATTTTCTTTTACAATATAGATAAGTACTATTTTACGGCAGTATTGATAGAGTTTGCCTAGCTTCCATTTAAGACCGTATCTCCCATCAGCTTGTTGTTTACAATACAATGTTTCTAAATGTAAAAACAGCGTAAAATGGAAGTAGTCAATATTTTCTTGAGCATTAAAGCAGCAATGTTCATTAATGGTTCCATTATCTGTTGGTTCGCTGTGCTTGCAAGAAATGAAATGCAAGCACAATAATGTTGGATTAAAGCCACTTGTTCTGGATACAAACATGTGAAGAAAGTTCTATAGAGACCACAGAGCTAGAAGCCACCATCTCAGCACGAATTACTTCAGTACTTTTACTAAAAACAAACAAAAACGTTTCTTGGATCATTCAGACAACAAAATGCAAAAAAAAACATGAAATTTTGTCACTGCCTTTACCAATAAAAAAGAATAAAATCAGAAAGGACGTCAATTAGCAGTTTCAAACCCAAGTAATTCAGAGGTATTTTTGCACCAAATGAAAAGAAAAAAAAAAAAAAATCATAAATCAACCATCTTGGCAAAGAAGAAATATGATCGCCTACATTATCAAATTTTAGCCCTTTCCCTTAAGCTGTTATCTTTTGTCAATACGAATTTACTTCTGTCTGTTTCATATTAAAAAGAATGCATTATCACATTTTATGGCCAACTAATGTTCAAGATAAATTGTATACAGCATTGACAAAAGTAAGCACAACACAATTCAAGAAAAAGCTTATTTTCCCATTTATCAAGAATTGGAAACAAAATCATATACGGTTACACTGGAAATCAAACTAAGACAAAACACAATCAGATGGGCAGTCCTACTTGTTGTGGGCTATGAAACATCTCGATAAATGGATATTCCTTTCTCTGCCGTGAAATGCAGAAACCAGGATACTTTGGGCACTCAACCTGAAGTTTAAACGTGAGATCGGAGTCACAAGAAAGTAAACACACAAAATGTAGTGGCATATTATGATATTGTCTATTGGTTCGAACTATTGACTAAATCCATGGATCACAGAGGCACAATGATAAAATGACCGTTACAATGAAATTAAGAAAACGGCTTAAGGAACATTTTCATAAAAAAAAATGACAAGAAACATAAGAAAACGACTTAAAGAAGATCAAGGAACTTATATGGATATCTTGTAATGAGAAATCATAAATTTGTGCATGGTGATTTCAATATGCACAATAAGATTAACATTAACAAGTCATTCGATATATTTTCGAATAACATTTAAAAAAAAAATTAATAACCCCAAAAGGCAGAAACATTTCAATACAGATGGGGCATCAATTAGAGGAAGCGGAGTTTGAGACGTACCCCGAGACATATAAGCATGCTCAAGAGATATGTAAGTCAATAAAAACATAATGCAACGTTTTTTTATTACTATTTTAATCTCTGAAATAAAGTAAAATAAATAGGTGGCAAAAAAATGATGCAAAGGATGACAAATGTGATTAAATAATAAGAAAAATAAAAATAAATCAAACAAACCATTGTAAAAGTTCTATAACTCAGTTAGACTTCAGAAGAAATGAAGCTGTTAAAAGATAAGAAAAGGAAAACGTCAATAAATCATGGCACGTCAGGTACTCCTATCATAAGAAAATGACTTACACGCATAAATTTCACAGTCGGATAAAACTCAACCGCAGCTTCCTCCAATACTTTGTCAAGATGCTTTGTGTAATTACCTCTATAGAATTAAACATGAGCAGTTAACCTAGAGAACAAAAAGAAGGTGCTAATACGAACAGTATTCATGTACCTGACTGTAAAAGCAACAACGACTGGATAACCTTCATGAAGGAGCTGGACAAACTCACGTTCAGATGTAAAATGTATGACCCTTGAAGGCCCAAGATCTTTTGGGAAACCAGTATAGTATCTATAACAAGTAGAGGGATGTGGAATAAGAAAAATTGTGAAGAAAAAAAAACAGACTACAAAGAGTCGTATCTCACAAAAGTAGAATGCAGTCTGGAAGAAAAGTTTATCCTAATCATGTACCTTTGACCATTATAATGCTAAATACAACTCAGAAAATCGGCTCTTGCCCAAAATGAACAAAAATGCTTATCTTCATGGAACATATGGACATGGAACTCCAAATATCCTCATCCAACAACAGAAACTAATAGATGAAGTGATCCAAACTTAACATAAATAAATATAAGAGAGTAACTCATAGTTAAACTTCTCAAATATAATAAAGTGATTGTTAAGGGGAACCCAAAATAAATATAAGACTTTCCTGGATTAGAGGGTTCGGAAGGGGTGGAAACCCAAAATGTTAACAGTTTCATTTTAATCTAAGGAGAACTAAAAGAGCCCCTCTTTCCATTTTCCCCTGCCTAGATGGATATGAGGTTAGTTCACAGCATCGGATGAGAGGTGGATTAGATGTTTGAAGGCAACTAGAAATTGTTCTTATGACAGTTGAGTTATTGATATTAGTAAATTTACGGCAACCTATCCACTTAAGCTTTTGGGTTTATTGGTGATTTAACATGATTTCAGAGCAAGAGGTCATGTATTCAAACCTTTGTAATCTTATTTCCACCCCAATTAATATCAACTTCCACTTGTTGAGTTTTTTACAATTTTTCGAGCTCACAAGCAAGGAAGGGAGAGTGTTGAAGTATTGATACAATTAAATTTAAGGTAAACTATCAGCTTGAGCAATCACGTGAGATGGATTTCCTGGGCAGAAAATGGCAGGTTAGTAACATGGTGCCGCCTCATAGAAAGCATAACAGCAAGATGATCAAGGAAGAGATCAACAGTGGAGTGAAAATAGATTATTTGAAGGGATTGATTGGATGCAGATGAAAATGGGGTCACATCCATTCTAGTAGGAAGTAAATTTCGCGTGTCGTAATCAAAGAAACAACTACTGCTAAAAGAGCAAAAATGAAGAGCTGCAAAGTCCACAGAGTGCTTATTCAATCATATTGCTGATATCAGGGGTCAGACTTCCCAATTCCTTGCCCCGAAAAAAGATAATAACAACAACATCACATACTTGCATGTCGCACGAAGGTGAATAAGCATTCTATCCAAAATTGTTGGGTCTCCCATCTGATCAAATCGTGCAAATAATCAACTTCTCAGTGTCCTACAAATATCAACATAAATGCATTTATCACTGGTGAAATCTCGCAGATCAAACCATTAGCAGAGTATGAAAAGTAGAGGAAAACAAACAAACTAAAGCACACATCCAAATTAAACTATAGAAGCCGACAAACCATAAAATTAAAAGGGGAAAAAAGGATAACTATCAACCTTCAATCACGGAATTACATAAGGACGTGCAGTGGGAAGGTTTGCTGGAACTATGGTTATGGCGAGTGGCCGTGAGACAATATTTCGAGGCGAGCTTCTGGATGGAGGATTTGGTGCGATAAGAAACCCACTTGTGACTCTGAGAAGCGAGAGAGGGACCGAGAAGAAAAAGAACAGAAGCGAGAGAGGACCGAGTGAAGCAGGGGTGTATATTGGTTCGGCTCGATTCGATTTTAGGTCCAACCGATCGGTTGGGTCTCATAACGGAAGAAATCGAACCGATTCAGACTAGTCGGCTTATCGGTTGTCCATTTTTGAAGTCCCCATTTCGTCAAAGATTAAGCTGAAATGGTTTGTGGGTGTATGTCGTCTAGTTTGTGGATCTTGTATCCTTATTTTCACCCAACCTTTCTTTTTTTCTTTTTTCTTTTTTTAACTAAAAAAATACGTACTATTTTAAGAAAAAATTAGAGAGAGATCCACTTTAAGCTTTTAAACTAAAGGAAGAACATTTTATATGCCTATATTAAAATATAACATTTTTTTTCCACGCATATCAATTTTAAACATTTTTCTCATGCTATTATTTTAAAATTTAAAATTTAACTTATTAGTTGAAAATAATGGTATTGTAAATGAGAAAATAAAATTGATATTTTTGAAGAGTTTATTAAATAAAAATGTTATCTTATGGGAGACATACTTCTCATATTATTATTTATTTTCATGTTATTATTTCAAACTCTCTCTCTCTCTCTTTTTTTTTTATAATTAGTTATCTAAATTTTTTATTGGGTGGATATGAAGATAATAAAGGAATAATAAAAATTTTCTTCATTCTAAAGCTTTTTCTTGTTTTTTTTTTTTTTTTTTTTTTTTTTTTTTTTTTTTTTTTTTTTTTTTTTTTTTT